ACTGGGAGAGAGAGAGGAAAGGAAAAAAAAGAAAAGCAATAGAGCGAAAAACACAGCAAGCGCAAAAGAGCAAAAGCGGCAAAAGCCAAAGCGCAAAAGCCCTTCTTCCCGTCTGACCCTCACTTTTATACTGGGCATGACGCTGCATGATATGGAATACTAATTGGCCAGTTTGGCCCTCAGTCTTAAGTTCCACACAAATCACAAGGGGAATCGTGTCCCCCTTGTCCCAGCTATGCTCCCCCCTTATCCCGCCGTGCTTCTGCACGCCGGCACACTGAAAAGTCCTTGGCAGCTTGTTATCAGCGTTCTTCTCAGAGTGAACCTCTGAGTAAAACCAAAACATGGAGCTTTTCTAGCTGTTAAAAAAAAAACCTCTGTCCCAGCTAAAACTAGGACATTCCTCTACCACTTGGAGAAGGAAGTTATCATTCATGCATTCCAGGAACCTCCTGGATTGCCTATGCCCTGCTGTGTTGTCCCTCCAACAGATATTGGGTGGTTGAAGTCCCCCATGAGGACCAGGGCTCGTGAACGTGAGGCTGCTCCTATCTATCTGTAGAGGGCCTCATCCACTTGGTCCTCCTGGTCAGCTGGTCTGTAGGAGACCCCTACTACTATGTCCCCTGTCTCTGCTCTCCCTTTAATCCTGACCCATAATGTCTCAGTTGGCATCTCATCCATCCCCAGGTGCAGCTCCATGCACTCCAGCTGGTCTTTGACATAGAGGGCAACCCTCCTCCTCTTCTTCCCTTCCTATCCTTCCTAAAGAGCCTGTATCCTTCCATTCTGACACTCCAGTCATAGGATTCATCCCACCACGTCTCCGTGATGCCAATAAGATCATATCCCAACAGACGCGCATTTAAGCTGGACCCCAGATGAATCTGACCTCCTGGCTGGAGTGGCTGGAATTCCTTTCTGCTGTTCTTCAGGTGAACATTACTGCTGCTAAGACAGTAGTGACAGCAAAGTCACTAAAGCAATTTTTTAATTCACTTTTCTGTAAAGATATTGTTGCCTAAACCCTAGAGAAAAACAGTTTTGGTCCTTGTAAATGCCCAGCTTTTTCTATAGGAAAAGAGATTTTTTTTTTTCATTTTATTAAGCTGGACACTAAAAACCTCATGTCTCCCTGACTTCTACAAATGCCTCCCCACACTCATCATTTCAGAGCAGTTTTTCCTTCTCACCAGGACCTTGTATTTCAGTGTAAGCTTACAAATACCAGGTAAGCATTACTGGAAAACCAAGACACTTTTATCCTGGTGAAGGCAACTGATCATGAGTTCTTACAGATAGGAAGTGCAGTTTGGGTTGTCACATATTCCAGGAGAATTTTGTGAGACAGGCCACTGACGCTGCTTCTGTTGCTTTCTCAAGGTGTCAAATCAACTGGGTGTATGATGGTGCTTTTCACAGCAACAAGCAGCTGAAGACAATCGTGCTGACTGGAAACCTGCTCCTGTTTCTGTCTGACACCGCGTTCACTGGCCCTCAGTCCCTGAAGGAGCTTGTCTTAACGCAGACAGGAATAACCAGTATATCATTTATTCCAATGACAAATCTGGACAGCTTGGATACCCTCATCTTGGGCAGCAATCACATCTCTTCATTGCAGCTCCCTCCCAACTTTCCAACTCAAAACCTCAAATACCTTGACTTTCAAATGAACAACATAAGAACAATCACAGCAGAAGATGTCCGTGTTCTGCAGAAGACCAGCAATATAACTCTTATCTTCAAAGGCAATGACATTTTACACATTGAACCTGGAGCTTTCCAGTCCTATTTCTACAGATTGGACTTTGGGGGCTGTGCTGACATCCCTGGGGTTCTGGCAGGGATACAGAACTCCACAGTCCAGACCCTTTGGTTGGGAACATTTCACAATATGCAAGAGAGGTCCTACATAAGTCCTGAAGTCTTACAAGGCCTCTGTCATATTTCTGTCAAGGATCTGTATCTGCAACTACAGCACTTCAGAAACCTGAACGCTGCCATGTTTCAGTGCTTGACCAAGCTCCGAAAGCTGGACCTGACCGAGACCCACATCAGTGCATTGCCCCCCGGCATCAGTGGCATGAGCTCACTGGTGGAGCTAGTTCTCAACGCCAACTCCTTTGAGCACCTCTGCAACATCAGCTCTGCCGCCTTCCCCTCCCTCACCCACCTCCACATCAAGGGGAACTTGCAGGCCCTGCAGATAGGAACTGGTTGTTTGGAGAAACTGGCAAAGCTTCAACATCTCGATTTAAGTAAGAGTCACATTGAAAGCTTTGACTGCTGTAACAAAGCACTGAGCGGCTTGAGCAGTCTTCGGTACCTGAATCTGAGCCACAACATAAAGCTCCACCTCCAAGACCTGCTCATTAAGGACGGTGCCAACCTGGAGCTGCTGGACCTGGCTTTCACTCCTCTTCTTATCAACACTCCACAGGGTCCTTTCCGAAATTTGCATCTCTTGCAAGTGCTGAACCTTTCCTCTTCTCACATTAATACTAGCATTCAGCATCTCTTTCAAGGCCTGGAAAAACTCATGCTCCTGGACCTTAGTCAAAATAACTTTGAGTCGGGGATGATGCTAAAGGACAAACTGTTCCAACAGCTATCCAATTTAGAGGTGCTAATTTTATCGTCCTGCGAACTGACAGCAGTAGGTGATCAAGCATTTCACAGCCTCAAGAAGTTACGACATGTCGATCTGAGCCACAACAAACTTGCTGCATTCAGCACAGATGCGTTTTCAAACCTCAAGAGCATCTACCTCAATTTCGCCCACAACAAGATTCGTATTGTACCACGCGACAAGCTAGCATCCCTAGCTGGCCGCTGCATAATCAATTTAAGTTACAACCCTCTGGAATGCACCTGCTCCAATATCGGTTTAATCACCTGGTACAAGCAGAATCTGGACAAAATTGAAGACTCTGACGGAACGAGATGTTCTGAACCCAAATCACTAGCTGGGGCTCAGCTGGCCACTGTCTCGCTCTCCTGTGGGATCAACACGGCAGGAATCATTGCAGTTGTCCTGGCTATTTTATGCTGTGGTGCCATCTTTGTTTGGGGTGCTCACTATTTCAAGCGAAATTACCAGCAAATATAAGTTCGTGATGGAGATATAGAAAAGATGTACAGCGACTGTGTTAAGATGAAAGACAACATACTGTTTCTGTCTGTGACCTGTATTTTTTTAACTTTTGTAATACCCTTTCCATTTATACTCTAACTTTTGGAAAAATAATGAAAAAATTTAATTTGATAACTGGAAAAATAAACTATGACCTGAGCCTTAAACATGAGTAATTTTCTTATAGGGGAGTCCCATTTCAACGCAGTTTTAGCTCTGGTGTCCCAGCTATGACTGCTAATGGACCTGTAAAGGGAAGATTCAAGGGTGAAAACACAAACCTTGTTCTCTTTAAAAAAATCAAACCAAACCACCACCACTCCCAACAAAAAAACCCACCACCCACCCAACCCCTCACCCTGTATCAAATGCACTTGAAACACCAGTAGAGTATGCTGCTCCGCTGAGAAGAAGACAAGCTTTCTGTGAAGGACAGGCACGACGTTCTCTGCCCATGGCAGGGGGGCTGGAACTAGATGATCTTTAAGGTCCCTTCCAACCCTAACCATTCTATGATTCTATGATTCACGGTCCCGTAAGATCTGCTTCTGCAGGACTGACAGAAACAGCCTTTATTGTCTCTCAGATGTTTTTTAAATGTTTTTGATCCTTAGGAAGATGCTGGCCATTGAACCTCTGCCAGTCCATCTCTCACCCCAGGGCAGGCCCTGCTCCTGGATGGTTTATGAGACTCCAGAGTAAGCAGAAACCAGCAACAATTTCAGCTTTAACCATAAAACCTGTAGATTTGGTCAAGAATCTGCAGGTGCTTGGCACTACAGATTCTTGGACAGGGCAAAAAAACAACAGCTAAGAGACTTTCCTGTGCCAGCCTGGAGCGGGCTGTTTCCTCCAGCAGCAGCCCAGGAAGGAAAACTAGGGACCTGCAAAGGGGGTGGTGCAGTGGGGAGCAGCAACCGTATCCCCGCGGGTGCCCCTCATGCCAAAAGCTGCTTCACATAATTTCTGGTGTGTGCCCTCCTGCGATGAAGTCAGAGCTGGGCTGTGTTCTTTGCGCTGATGAGATACGTTAACAGCTATGGGGGAGGAAAGACAAACAGACTTCTTATTGTTTACTCTTACTAAACAACCAAATCCCTGTTTCTGCCATCACAAGTCAGAAAACCCAGTGGTGGGACAGAGTTAGGTGTATTTGACCAAGGGTCTGATGGGAGCTTGCCGTGCCTACTCATCTGTCCTGTGTCAACATAGGGCTATTCATGGCACGAGTGCTTTAATTAAACAGGCTAATCTCGATATAGACACAACCTTCTCAAAGGACACAACCCTTCTGTCTCCATGGCGGAGCATGGACCATGTGGAGTCTCACCCTGCCCCAGCGAGGCTCCCCAGTGTGATAAACCAGAAGCTGTGGTTGCTCACCAAGGCACGGAAAGTGAGCTCATTCTCAGCACTTTCCGTGCGGGATTCCACATCCAGCTGCAGCTTCTGGCCAAAGGCATTTCCTCAACATATCCTCCATAACATGCTGACAGCTTAAGGTTTCAGAGATCTCTGCTGGACTAGGAAGTTTGTACTCATTTCTGAAGACACAGCTCACAAGAACACCTGTCTGGTCTTCTCAAGTAAGAAATACCTCTCTTATTTGAAAAGCCTCTTTTACCCTCCGTTAGCAGGGCGGACTAACACAACACGGATTCTCACAGCCTTCAAATGCTTCCACGTCATGTACGCTGCGTGTCTTACCCCAGAGCTTCTCCCCTTCCTGCCTTTGCAATGGTGTGCTGCCCACCGGTGTGCAGGGAGAGCATTTGATGTTTCTTCTCCAGCTGCCTATAAACGCTCCTGAGTTTGAAATTTGGGTACCAGGACATTGCCTCTCCTCACAACTCTCTCCATCACTGATACGTATTCCCCATTTCTGTGGCCACTGACATGCTCTGCAGAGGAGCCTCCTCCTCACCCCGTCCGCCGGCACTGCCCTCCCGTCTGCCGGCGCTGCGCTCCCACTGCCGAGCACCACAGCTGCGCCGGGTGCCTGCAACAGACCAGCCCTTCCGCAAGGACGAGCCTAAGGGAGAGAAATGTCTCTGAGCAAACCACACTGCCCATGGCAAGGGCTTCCTGGCCCCTCCTTGGGAGCAAGGCAGGGGGAAGGTCCTTAAGTCAGCCCAAGGTTCAAGGCACCTTTTCCCCTCCCTCTGCAAATCCGACTGGTTAAACAAGCAACCTCTGATAATCATGCTATCTAATAGTCCAGCATGAATGCCACTGTGTGCACCATCCAAGAAAGACCTGCTTCTTCCATTGTTTCCCTCTTAAATTTGTGGGCTCAGGAAAGTGATAGACAAATAGTGAAGTTACAAAGGAGCACAACACAGTTCATAGCTTGGGATAGGCGCAAAAAAAAATTTCTGCAATTATCAGATAGTAACTGTGGGAGATCCACAAATATCAGCAACTTGAGGGGAAGACTGTGTGTTGGGCTGATACTTAAACGCTTTGTTTGGAAAGAGGAACATAGGTTTTAAACTCCACCAGTTTCTAAAACGCTACCCATTGTCATGGTGTAGACTTGTGTGTAGACTTCAGCCAGTTAAAACTCAAAGATGACTGAAAAGGCAAAATGGTGAACATGCTCCCGTGCAATATATCATAGAATCATAGAATGGCATAGGCTGGAAGGGACCTCAGAGATCATCTAATCCAACCTCCCTGTCATGGGCAGGGACGCTTCTCAACTAGACCAGGCTATTCAAGGCTCCGTCCAACCTGGCCTTGAACACCTCCAGAGAAGAAGCATCCACAACTTCTCTGGGCAATCTATTCCAAAGTCTTACCACCCTCGTACTGAAGAATTTCTTCCTAAGATCTAATCTAAATCTGTTCTCCTTCTACTTAAAACCATTTCCCCTTGTCCTATCAGTGGACACTCTTGTAAAAAGTCCCTCCCCAGCCTTCCTGTAGGTTCCCTTCAGGTATTAGAAGGCAGCTATTAGGTCCCCCCGAAGTCTTCTCTTTTCAAGGCTGAACAATCCCAGATCCCGCAACCTGTCCTCGTAGCAGGATTTCTTCTCCACGGCATGCTACTGACCGAAGCAGATTCTTCTGCTCTTCTGGCTCTTGCTCGAGTTCTTTCTGTTGCTGCAGGGTGCTCTGCTGTTGCTGTGAGAAAGTAGTTCTTGCTTGTGCCAGCCATTCTTGGACACTGGGGCTTTGTGAGGAAACAAAGTCCAGGTTGCTCTCCTCCTTTTCTTGTAATGATCCCCGAATGTTGATCTGTTTGTCGTGGAGCACTTTCTGCAGCTCCAGAAGGCTGCCCTTCAGTGTACAGACCTTCCTGCAACCCATCCCTTTCCCTCTAAGCAGCTTGGTTTTGATGATCGTATCTTCATCTGTTGTCATTTTAATTTTCTCTTGGATTTACTTTACAGTGTCTCCTGCTCAGAGTAGTCTCTGCTTTTTTATTTGCACTCGAAACACCATTCACTGGACACAATGTGAACAACAGTGCTGAACAGCATGTGCTGTTTCAGGATCCACAAATCCTAAATACAGGGACTGATTATTCTGAAGGGTATAATGGGTATACCTGAATACAAATTCTGAATTTGTATATGGGTATAATACATTAAAATGTCCTGATTATGTATTAAAACTTTTTGAAGTCCAAAGATTTAGTGTTCCAGGATTACTTAGCAAGGATACAAATGGAAAAACACAGTGGATTTTTCTTTACAGATATCATGGAAACAATGTTACAACACTGCAAAATAAAATTTGTTATCAGTATTTACACAGAGAAGAAACTTAAGCAGATCTTAGCTAACAAGTCACATTTCAGGGGCTGGTAAGTACTTACCTTTATTCCAATTGGACAAACCAAAACTCGGAGCGAAGTTCTTCCTTCTCCAACTGTGCTTAAACAAGATACTATCAACTATGATGCCAGTCAATTTTTTCAATAGGATTTTACTCTGAACAGGATGATTGAAGAGAGGCCAGTTTCTAAATCTGTTGACTTAAAAAAACGTCCTAATGTTGATGATGCATCTTTTAAGAGCCCTTATTCACTAGTCTTCTCTGTACCTGGAAAAAAGAGCAGGTGAGATCCCTTCCCAACCACTCAGTCCATACCTGCTTGTCTGGCAAAGACAATGGATATTGCTCTCCCCCAAGCAGCAGACGATAATCCTTTTCCAGTGGATGTCTCGAACATCTTCTTGCCCTTGTATCCAATTCACACCTGCCATTTTCAAGGGCTTGCTGTGTGACAGAACTTACCTACGTTGTTACTGTCATCTTACTCTGCAGCCTTCTCTTCTTTTCCTGATGCTCCCAAGTCTTTGCGGCTTGAACTGTAACCTCTAGCATTGCTTCCTACCCTTGGTTAATTCAAATCCGTCCTTCGCGGATGCCTGGGAGATTGAGCTGGTCAATGCTAATCAAATACTATACTATAGATACAGTCAGAAAAACTGTCGCTAAGCCCAAGCCATGAACTGGGACATGCATCCATATACCCTCTAGTAACTATTTTCCTGTCCTGTGATGTATTCTGTCTGAGCTTCAAACTATCATCCAAATCCAAGCATGACATCCCTGTTAAGTCTTGCCGACTACAGAAGAGTAAAATAGGAGGTCTAAAGGAGCATGTAAAATGGGAGTGCAGTGCTGAAGAGGGGTGCTCACACTTCCCTTTCAGACCATGAAAGCACTCCTGTCCCAGGTGAGCTGCAGTCTCTTTGTACAACACTAGAAGCGAGGATGACAGGCCATGCCAGATACAATATGGTAACCTTTCTCTCCCAACTTCTCCTTCCTCAATGCAAACGCCTTACACCACTCCCTTCCTCTGGCCCTGAACACTATGGAATCGCTCTGGGCATGCAGATTTCCATGCCTGCCCAGGTAGAGCTGACTGCTACTGTCCACAACCAGAGACAACACAGCAGGCAGGGCAGTTAGATCCAGAGTCAATCCTCAACTCATTCTCTTTCCCTTTTTTTCCCCCC